TGGAAAACACTGAACCGTCTCCGTTTTAACCGGAGCCGTTGGCTGTCGTGCAGACGCGGCGGGGGGCGTTCAGCAGCCACCCTGGCCGGAGGAGGCGGGCGCCGGGCTGTGTGAGGCGGGGGTGGGCGGCTGCTGTGCGGGCCCCGGCTCGCTCGGCGGGCAGAAGACCAGATTCAGGAGTAGGCACAGACGAAGGAAGAGCTCGGTGAGCGGGGGCCAAGCGGGGGAGGACAGATCGAGCGAAGGGTCCAGGAGAGAGAGCCACACCTTGCAGGTTGTCCGCACCCCCCGGCCTTCCATTTTTTCGGAAGAGTCTGTGCCCAGGAAGCTGTCAAATTGACTTTCCAGGGCTCGTTGCTCCATGATTTTTTCCTCCAAAGGAGGGGTATTTTCTTAAGAACGTAAGAAAACCAACACACGCTTTCAAGACTCAGAGGCAGGAATCCTCACTGAGGCGTTTCGGCCCCCAGGACGCTGGTGGGGGGGTGCCCAGCCCCTCCCCCCCGATGCCCCTCACGTCCTGTCCGGGGAAAGCTCAGCCTCCCTGATTGCAGGCCTCCTCAAACTTGAGATGTTCAGAGCAGCCAAGTAACGTCGGCCTCTCTCTGAAAAAGACACCAGGACTGTGTAACCTGGAGTTAACTCTGGAAACGATGCCCCAGCATTTCAAATCCGGGGGGACCTTATGAAACATGGTCCCTCCCTCCTGTTCCACCTGCGGGGCTGCAGGTCCCACATCTCAGGGTGATGTCCATTTGTCAGTGGGGTTCCAGGGCTCACGGGGGCGGAGGCCAAGGATGAGTCAGAATTCAATTGTATGAGTCAAACGGCAAATTTTTTGCCCTCAGACCGAATTCCTTGGATCAGTTCAGCAAGTGTTCACGGAGCGTGTGCTCTATGCCTGGTTGGTTGGCGACAGGCATGGTGACCTTGAGAAGCTTGTGCTCTGGTGGGAGAGGCAGACATGCAAGAAGTGATCGCCCCCCCAACTTAGAGGCCATGGGAGGGGCTGGGGAGGAGGAGCATGGTGCCGCAGGGCTGGAGAGGCCTGCCTGACCAGCCGACGACGCTGGATGCGAAGGAGCAGCTGGTTGGGTCAGATGTGGAGCCGAAGGCGGCACGTGCAAAGGCCCTGCGCTGGGAAGAGTCTTGGCTGAGGGTGTGGAGTGAAGTGAGCGAGGAGGAGGGGGTCCAGGACGAGGCTGGAGAAGTGCAATGGCGGGATAAAGAGGGGGGCAGTAGGTCCACTTAAAGATGCTGAGTTCTGGGTGCTGCAAGTGTGCCACCCAAGGAGCTTGGCAAATGCGTGCAAGCATCTCGAGAAAGTAGCAGCTACCTCTAGACTTACGTGCGTGTCAGACACCTGCACAGCTCCCTCCGTCCGGCAGGGCCGCCGCGGAGCGTGGGGTCACTCGCACCTGGATCTGAATCCCTGCCTGACGCCTGGGGGTCACATGGCCACGGGCACCCCTCAGCCCCTAAGGCTGTAAACGGGGTGCTGGCTGGGCTTCCCTGAAGACAAGCCTGGCGCACAGCAAGTGCTCAGTAAATGCCTGCACACGCGCCAGGAGGCTAGCGGATGCATAAGGATAAAGGATAAAAGTGTGTTGGGATCCTGAGCATCTGGATGGCAAGTTCAAGTTTTCCAGCAAGTGAAGGCATTCTTCCCAGGCAAGGCGCGGTCACTCAGCAAGGCCGCTGTCCACCCTGGACGAGGATCCCGGCGGGGCTTGGGGCATTGAGCGGCAGCGAGGGAAGGAGGTGTCCGCACAGCGGGGAGGTGGCCCCACCTCAGCTGTAAAGTCCACTGCAAAGGCCTATGCTCCCTGCCCACCAGCCCACAAGGCTGGCGGGGCAGAGCCCCCTCACCAGGCTTCCAGGGAGGCCGCGGAGAAGGGGCGACCACACCCCAAAGCACCTCCTCTCCCCTCAGCCGCCACGTGGGGCCTCGAGTCTACAACACCAAAGGGGAACCCACCAAAGAGAAAAGGGCCTTCGGTTCTCAACGAGGAGCCAGACCAGGGTCTGCGACGTTCGCCATGGGACTTGGAGCCAATGCTGTCCTCGCCTGGGCAGCGCAGTGGGCAGTGGGTCTGGGCACCTAACCCCCAGGGGAGTCACAGGTTCCAGGGACCAAATCTGCGGCTGCCAGGCAGAGGAGGCCCCTCGGGCCAGTGACGGCGGCCGCCTCCCTCCCTCCGCTCAGGGGAGGCTGTGCCGTGGTCTGGGGAGGGGCATCCTGGACTCCCCGCGTGCCCAGCTACGGTGGGGGAGCCGAGGCCCGCTGGGGCGCTTGCTCACTGGCGGGGCCTAGAGGCACCGGGGTCTGCAGCCCGGCCGCGCACTGGGGTCTTCTGAAAAGTACCATGAAGCTGACACAGTAAACGTGCCTGCGTCAGTGAGCAGTTCTGAGTCTGAAGGACGCACGCTTGTGGGACCCCTGCCATCATCACGACGTAGAATATTTCCATGACCCGGAAAGCTCCCTCCTGCCCACCTCCCTCTGCTCACACAGGAGTGGTTTACACACGCTGGATGCGGCATTCCCCGCAGACACTCGCTGTGCGCCCCGCGATCCCCTCAGGAGCCCCCTGAACCGAGAATCCTGTTTTCATGCCTGAATCCCAAAGATAAGGTTTTCCAAAGAATGACCAGATAGCCCGGTCTCTTCATTTTCTGCAAGCATGTTGTAACGGAACCCAGCTCATGTGTCCCCCAAGCCCTGCTCACTCACCACGAGTCCTGGACCCGCTGGACCCGAATCCCGGCAGCCCACCGGAGGGAGGGAGGGAACGCAAACAAGGCGTCACAGCACATCACACAGTCTCTGTGGGACATCCCGAGGGATGAGACCAGGAGTCGGGACCCTGGAGGGCAGGGAGGGACACTGCTGCCCACGTGGCCCTCCGACGGCCGCAGCCCTTCCCGCGGCTCCTGCACCCCCTTCGGTGCAGAGACACCCAAGGCCGCGCTGGTCTTGTGTCCAGTGGGGGTCAATCGTGTCCTCTCCAGGGGAGCTGTGTTACAAAGAAGACGTGAGAACATGTTTCCGTGGTGGTCCGACTCGGCGGGGGGCCCAGCTCAGCTGGGAACCCGCCCTGACCTTCTCAGCGTTTCCTCGTCAAATGATGCGGGCCACA